ACTTCCTGCTTTGGTGGGATCCCAAATAATTTCTCTTGCAAAAAAACATCCTGTGAATAGTAAAATGTGATTACAGGTAATGCTTCCGATGGAGAGGTAGAAACTAGCACATCCAGAACTTGAGGTATGCTACAGGGATTTGGGGATCAAGGGTGGAGGCTTGTCATTGGTGTTTTGTTGTTATTGTTGTTGCTGCTGCTTTTTTTTTTTTTTAAGGAACATTGACACAGGGCCTTGCTATATGCCCCAAGCTGACAATGAACTCTTTGCAATCCTTCTGCATCAGGTCACCAAGGTGTTAGGGTTACAAGCATGAACCACCATACATGGCTTAGGTTCACCTTCAGAAATCATCTAGATCCCTACTAATGTCCCTGAAGCCTTTGGGTATCCTAAGATGCTTGGACCTGACAAGCTCCATCCTTCCTCAATTCACATTCCTCCAGGGTGAAGCCACTGTTATCTTAAGCTTCACAGACTTCTGCAGGATAAGCCCTTCAAATCCAGACTGTGTTCTTGGAGGCTATTCAGCATCACCTTTGGCTCTTATATTTTACCCTATTCTTCATTCCCTGCTCAGCAGCCTTATTCCCCAGAGCCAATGTCAGGACCAAGCGTAGTGGTGTTATGAGACAAATAGATGGATGTTTCCTGGCAATCAACACAGCCAACCAGGCTCATGACTGTCTCTTCTATTGTTCAGTAAAATCCTCATGACCTATCTCTTTGTACTAAGCCTGTATAGTGATCAGTCAGCACATCAGACTGGCTAGCACAGGTCCTACATATTTAGACAAACCTCATGCCTGTGGGTCTAAAGTTCATACACCCCCTGGCTCTTTTTAGGTATCCCTAATGTACCATATCTTAACCTTTGATTTCATTTGGTATTTTTCAATCATTCAAACATCAATCAATATTTCAACTATCTTGTTTAGTCTCTTGTTGTTTATAGTGGTTGTTTAATTTTGTTTTGTTTGTGACATGGTCACACTATGTGATCCAGACTGGCCTTTATAACACACCATCCTCCTGCCTCCACCTCCCAAGTGCTGGGAATATAGGTATGCACCATCATGGGTGATACCAGGGGGTCCTTCTTGTGTCTGTTTCCAAGAAGAGCCTTCAAGATTATCTGACCACAGCCTTGTCTGCCAAGTCTTGCTTCAGAATTCACATCCCACATATCACACTTGGAGAATCATGCCTTCTTTTGTGAATACTTATTCTATATTCAGCACACATTTATTTTAAAAGGGCTATGGTTTTATTTTTGTTGTTGTTTGATTGATTGGTTGGTTTTGGTGGCTTGTTTTGTTTGTCTGCTTTTGAAACAAGGACTTACTATGTAACCCTAACCTATCCTATGGTCCACTATGTAGACCATACCAGCCTCCAATTTATAGAACTCTGCCTTTCTCTATGTGTTTCATACTGAATTAAAGGCTTGTGCCACTACTCAGGGCAGGGCCATGATTTGTAAAGCTCTGTTCTCTGTGCTCCAGATACACAGAAAGCAACCCATCTACAAAATCCCTCTCCTCATGCATCCTCAAACAACCAACAAACCACTTAAAACCAGTACTAGTTACTAGACAATGATAAGTACATATATTTTAAAAATGAAAGATACAGTAGGTAAGAGGGGGTGGCATATTGAATTACATATTGAGTTTTACATATTGAATGCAGAAAAAGCCCTAATCTCCGAGGAATGAGGGATAGTTCATTCTAGAGCTGAATATAAGTGACCGTAGCCTAAAAGCCAGATTCCTGTTAATCCATGTACCCCACTCTAATGTGGTAAGTTTAATGAAGGTTTTACAGTTTTTACAATTATAGAACAAGAGAAAGTCATGAATCAAGAAACTTTTTAAGAACTTTGGTAGAACCATCAGGCAAGTAGCTAGCAGCTAAGTGAGGAAAACTCTACTCTAGATCTCAGATGCTATCTGATACCATTATTGTCTTATTTCCTTAAGTAATACACAGAAATAATAACGGAGGGAGGTAAGTGTGACCATAATGGCTCATCTTCACTGTCAGCTTGGCTGGATTTGAACCAAGTAAGAGACACAGCTCTGGTGTATCTGCAAGTGCATTCCCAGAGAGTTTGAGAGTGGATAATCCATCCTGAATGTAGATAGTATTATCCCATGGGCTGGGGTCCAGGACTAAATAAAAAGATAAAAGTAATCGAGCAACAACATTCATCCCTCTCTCTCTCTCTGCTTCCTGATGTTAGGTGCAATATAACCAAAGGCCTTGAGTCCCTTGCCTTCCCCACCATGATGGACTCTAACTTCAAGCTAGGAGCCAAAAGAAACCCTTACTTCCCTTGTCAAGTGTTTAGTCACAGAAATCAGAACAATAACTAATACCAGCATTAGCAAGGCAGCTCAGTGGGTAAAAGTACTTGCTACCTAAGACTGGTGTCCTGAGTTCAATCCCCAGAAGCTACATAACAGTCACAGCTCCATCCACAGTCTCTATGTTTTGAAGATTGGTCAATGGCCATCATGAATATTGAAATCTTCTGTGAAGGTGCCATTCCCGTGCAGTTTCCTATCTGCCTTCTGTCAGCTGACAAGTTGCCTGACATTCTGCCCTAGTTTGATCTCTGCTGCTGTGATAAAACATTCTGACCAATAGCAACTTAGGGGCAAAAGTGTTTATTTCACCATAAAGGCTACTGTCTGTCACTGAAGGACATCAAGGTAGGAATTCAAACAGGAACTTAAAGGAGGGCCTACTTGCTATTCCACACAGAATTACATCTGTAATGAACCAAGGAACTCACTTCACAAATAAGTACATCTGGAACCATAGATGCTGGTTGCTAGCTGGATCACAGACTGACTGGCACTCAACTCACTTTCTTGCATAGTCTAGGCCACTTGTCCAGGGAATAGTATTATTCACATCAATTAACAATCAAGACAATCCCCCCACAGACATGCCCACAAGCCAACCTGGCTTAGACAGGTCCTCTCAGGTGACTCTAGACTGTGTCAAGATGGTAGTTTAAGTAACCAGGACTCTCAAGAATCAGACTCATTCTGTCCTTCCAAATGAAATCCTAGGAGAGACTCCTATTGGCCCTGGGCAATCATGTGCTGACCTCTGAACCAAAGAATGGATGCACACCTCTGATTTGTACCACGTACTCGCCTGTGGGGCTGGAGATGGAATTGGATCCTATCAGACTGAAAGTAGGAGAGGGGCAGGAAATAGGGCTCTGTAATCAAAAGACAGGGAAATGAAGAGCAGGCTTCCTAGAAAGACAGACATCTACTTCAGCTCTGAATTTTGTGTGTATTAATCCTTCTTCTGATTCTGTTGATGTCTCCAACAGCTACCTCTCTGGTTTTGGCTAAATTACTTACTCTCTTTGAGTTAATTTACTCACTGTAGCATGAAGAAGAAGGTAAAATAATTACCAAAGCTATTTCCATTCTTAATTCCCTCATCTTGTGATATACATGTTAAGTGAGTAGGGAAAGGGAAGGCTTGGAAATGTATTCTCAACAGACAGCAGTGATAGAATTAATATTCCTGTGTCTGTAAAGTTTATCAAGTACACCAGCTCCCAAAGAACCCCTAAATGAAATTCTAGCAATCACCCCTGAATAGCTGTGATCAATTAGTGGGTAAGGCTCTTTCAGAGGGAAGGACTCTCAGGAGAAAAAAAATCTGATTTAATAATTATAGATGAGGCTACATGGGTGAAAGAAGATGACCACAAAAGAGATAGATTTAATTTTAGGCTCCTTGTAACTCAGTTTTTACATTTTTTATTACATTTATTTTTGTGTGAGTTCATGTATGTGCATGCAGGCACACATGTGCTACAATGTACATATGGAGGAAAGAAGAGAAGTTGTAGAAGTTAGGTCTCGTGTCCAGAGTGTGGGTCCTGGGATTGAACCCAGGTCATCTGGTTTACAGGGAGCCATTACCTGCTGAGCCATCTTACCGGCCCATAGTTCAGATTTTTTTTTAAAGATACTCACTAATCAAATAAGAGCAAGAAAATCAAGTGCAAGTGTGTGCATGTATACATGCATGTGTGCACACATGTGTGTGTGTGTGTGTGTGTGTGTGTGTGTGTGTGT